AACACCCACTACCACTGTTATGTCATCAACTGCTGCAGCTGCAACAACTGCCAGTACTACTGTGACCACAGTAGCTGCAACAACAACTGCTGTTCCTACTGTCACTACCAGTCAAATGACTCCTACGTCATGTATGTATTATTAGTAAAACATGCTTGATCTGTAATTCATCTTTCCATACTTGCTCGCTTCTGCATCCCTTGATAGTGTAACCTTTTCATGCCCAAGTCATAACACCTTTATTTATTTATCATTGCTTATATTGTTAATAATCTTGAGTAAATCATGTTGTAAATTGAGCAAATTTCATTGTATGTTGAAATGCAGTTGTCATTTGCAGTAGAAAAACTATTGACCCGGAGTTAACATCTGTAGATGCATTCTTATTTCTCTCTTATACATTTCTGTTATTCCATTAATGAGACATGTGGCAATAGTCAAGAATTATAGAGGTCCATTGTTATGGGCTTACATTGTATTGCTCAATAGCTGTAAAATACATCAAACACAAATGATGTCATTGAAGATACTTATTTTGTGCTCACAAATGTTCAATGATCAAGCAAATTGCTTACCTGAGGCTGTGACCAGTGTCTTGTCATATTATTTATCTTGGACAAAAATAGTTATGATATTGAGCATGGAATCATTATTGCCAGTAGATTAAAACAAAAATTCATTAATCTCCAAACCTATTAAAATAAAAAATTTCATAACTGTATGTTTTCATGCATTATTGGATTTTAACATTTGTTAGACATTTATTTTCATCTCATGTTACGATACCTAGTTACAATGGACCCATATTCTTGACTCTTTCTCTGTCCAACTATTCATGCAAGGTAATGTTATATTTCCTGATTTTATGCCCATTTTTTACATTTATTTAGTACATATATTTCATGGTAAGAAACTATTCAGGCCAGTGGGTAAGAATCACTTCATTCTTCCATTGGGGATGGACCATTTAAAATTCTAGGGAGGACTTAGAAAAAATGTGGGTTGATTTTATTTGCACAAGTTTTCCACGCCCACCCCTTGATTTTGAATGGTCTATCCCTTACCGCATTGGTTCTGTTATACCAACCATTCAGTACATCTACATATACCTCAATTTAGAATTTCAAGACGGCCTTAGATTTAGCTTGTCTTGAGTTGGAATTAATTAATGAAACAGCTGCTTGTATACAAACAGCGATCACAATTATAATAATAAATATTGACACCTGCATTTACATACCTTGACCTTAACCTGAAACATTGTACTTTTCATCACAACTCACAAAATAGTCCTGTTATAGTCTCCATTATGAAGAAGATTGGGACAAAAATAGCCAATGAAAATGGTCTCAAATTTTGTTTGTTGGCTCCAAAATTAGGGTTCATTTTCAGAAATATTGAAGAATATAAGAAAAAAGTGCAAACAAATGTGGGTGAGAAAGTCTGGTGGTGAAAAGATTAACATACCCACTGAATGCTTTTCTTGGGTCTAATGTTAATTTACTTCAGAGAAAATGCGTCAATTTACTGAAATTCAGTTTGTCATCTATTTTTCCTGCTGACTGATATAACTGCTAACCTCTGCTGCATTTATATGAACAGTTCAATTTCTTACTTCACATTGATGCACTGGAAAGTAGTCTAATAACAGATGGGCTTTTGAGTGAAATCCATTGCGACCAATTTACAAATGAATGATGTGTGAACACATTGCCTGCTAATAGCCTGCATGGATGTCAAGAATGAATGGATAAAGATGGCATCTGCTGGTCATATGTTCATTCATTTGTCTTATAAATTGTTGTTTTGTTTAAAAAAAAACAACAAGCATAGTGGCCACTGTACTTCAAATGCTATAGGTTTCCTAAGTTACTGCTCCAGTATGCTGGGGTATTTCAGATTTTCTACAAATCACAGATCAAATTGATTGCAAATATGCAATTAAAATAGACCATTACTCTAACTTATAGTAATCAAAACTTGTGTAATACAAATGTATCTATACATGTAGTGTCTATTTTCTGTACCCTTCTACTCGTATCGCTCACACATATCTGAATTCTACCATCGAGGACGCACACATTGTATGGAAATCTTCCTGATGCTGGATTCTGCTCTCCTATATAGCTTCCCCTGTATTGAATGAATGCGGTATTATCACCTTCTATATTAACTAGTGTCTTCATCTCTTTTCAGTTTCTGTGGCATCATCTCCCCAGCCAATGTTGCCACCACCACCTATGAATATGATACCAGGAATGCCAATGATACCACCATTCCGGATGCATGGAGTACCACTTCCTGCAATGCCTCTTCCAATACCAGGTATATTTAAAATATTTTACTCATGAAAAGACTATGAATTGCATGATTTTTAGAAGTGCATCTCCAATATAAACACATATAAACCATCAATTGCATTAATTGTACACTTGATTGTTCTATTGTTATTTAGGGAGGTTTATGCATTACTAAATGAGCAAATACAATACATGCAAATCCATTCAGCGTACACTTCTAATAGAACAAAATGAAATACAGTATTATTGTAATAAAACACATTAATTACTTACAAAAGGAAAGTAGACCTTGCAGGTGGGAAGACTGGTTGCAGACAAGACAGATGAAATGACAAAACAACAGTTAGTATAGGTCAGTTAGTGTAGATGATAGCTGGCTTCCCTCTAAGATTTTGTCCAGCATACAGTTTTCAATCTTTTAGCCAAATTAGCCAGATGTAACATTTGCTGTGATGGCAATAAGCACAATGGCTGAATTTTGCCATTTTGGCTATTGGGAATCGGAAACGCTTTGCTATTAACCTATATCCTGTTACATTGACTTAACCACACAAGGGTTAATCTTTAACAATATTTGTCTGATGTAGGTATGATGCCTCCTACACTGCCAGTTGGGATGCTGCCCCCTCCCCAGGTTGCAGTAACCACCGTACCAACAGTCCTGAAGCCTTCATCTCCCCATAGTGAATGGTCTCACCATAAGAATGCTGACGGAAGAACCTATTATTATAACTCTCGTACCATGGAATCCACGTGGGAGAAACCAAATGAACTGTTAGATTTGGAGAAAAAACCTGCAGGTATGAGTTATTATGGTTATATGTATCAAAAAGCTAAAATTTTAATGAAAACCGTGTAGCTATCAATAATTGTATATTGTAAATAAGCGAATGTATATTAAACATGTTGTATATGTCATTCAAGACCCATATCGAACAGGATGTGATGAATCAATTCATGTAATGAACATTTAGTTGTGATAAGAGATTTAAGCATTTATAAGGGAAGATGGAGTGTTAATGTATGGTTTACACAGCACCAAATCACTGCTTACCACGTTACCAATCATTTTTCTTAGCAGAGATTATGGGTCTTTTATCACTAAGCTAGGTAGTCACCTGGAAACGCCCCACTAGTTGTGACTCTCTGGCTCAGGTCATAAGCTCAAGGACTTGAGAGTGATTACTAATATTTATCATGATGACAAAGTTACACACATTAAATGTTCAAATTGTTTGCGCTTTGGCATCGAACACAATCACTGGATCCTGATTTTTGTACAGTATAACTTTCTGTGTATAATAACTACCTCCGTATTATCAAAATTAGTCATACCAACATTGATAGTATACAAGAATACTCTGATTTGAGGATTCTTACCGACATTGTGTGTCTTGTTTCTCTTTCAGAAAAAGAGAAAGAAACTGAAGAGGAACCTGTGAAAATGGAAGTAGAGGAAAATGAAAGTAAAGTAGAGGAAACCAAGGTTGGTAACTATTGTACATGCTGCTTTGCCATGCCAAGTTTGATTTCAGACGCCATTTTGAAAATGTGCATGTGCTTTGAGGGGTTCTTGGACTTTTGAAGTGCCTATTTAGTGTAGATGTTAATTGATGTTTTTGGTATCTTTGTAGGAGGTTAAAGAAGATCCAGAAACTGTAGAAAAACCCAAAGAAGGAGATAAATCAAAACCAATTCAGAGTAAACCAGTCCCTGGAACACCATGGTAAGGCAATCCTGCCTACTCTTAATCATATGCAATATTGGAGTATTCACAAATGCCAGTTATCATCATCATCATCATCAGTCAAACTTGTCCGTATTTTTTGAAGTGCTTAATGCCAGTGTGTGTGTATAAAAGTGGGTCAGTTATCTTGATATTACACCATGCAATCGTGGCACAGCTTTCAGTCTTAATTCAGCTGTACCCATTATATCTGCCATCTTGTAATGAAATGGAGATTACTATATAGTTCTTTGTTGGTGATATGGTGCTTTTAAAGCATGTACATGTTCTTCTGTTCTGTTATTATTGATCTCATCTCTACTGCATTGCATACACTGTATGAAGTTCTAACTGAAGTACTTTATCGAGTAAAATTTTAACTAAGATCAAGCGTGTCACTTAATTTTGACAATTATTTGAAATGTCAGGTATCTGTAAATGCACAACTGGCTTTAGCTAACCCCCCCCCCCTCCAAAAAATATTGGCTTCTATTAATATGTAAGCATTTGCTGTTGTATGAGCCTCCTTATACACATGCTCCTGTAGTAGTAGTAGCAGCAGCAGCAAACTGTCTGTGTCAATCAAGTTCTATCCCATGTTTTGGGAAAATGATTGCCTACGTGGATTCTGATATTTTTTTGACATTCTTCTAGGTGTGTTGTGTGGACTGGAGATGAGAAGGTGTTTTTCTACAATGCTAGTACTCGTGCGTCACTCTGGGAGAAACCAGAGGATTTGAAGGGTAGAACTGATGTAGATAAAATGGTACAGGAACGGCCATGGCAACCAAAGGATGAAGACTATGGTGAGTATCACATCATATAGACCCCACATTAGATACTGCAAAATACTTTATTTAAGCTGGAATTAATTTCGTGGAAAGATATTTTGGGTGTGCAGTATGGATTTTTTTTTTCACTGATATTTGGTGAGATGAGTGTAAAACATACAATTTTATTTTCACTGAATCATCCCTTCAGGGAAAATACAAAAATGAAATCCAAGCGAAAATAAAGTATTTCACCGTAGTATATGCTATGATGCAGTAAACATTTAACTTTGGTTCTCCAGATTCGCAATGATTTTTGTGCAATTTTTTATTTACTTTTCTCACTTCGAATATAGATTTACACTCTGATTTAAATAAGAAGAAATTAGAAGACCCTCTTGATGATGAACCAAAGGCAAAGAAGAAAAGAGATGAAAAATCTGAAGTTGATCCTGAGAAAGAAGCTGCAATTGAAGCGGAAGTAAAAGCTGCCAGAGAGAGAGCAATAGTACCTTTGGAGATTAGAATGAAGCAGTTTAAGGATATGTTATATGAAAGAGGTGTAAGTATTTCCAATATGTTGCAGAGCATTACACCATAATGAGTGTTCAATTTGTTTTAGAGAGCTTAGACAGCTTATCAATTATTGCTGGGAAAAGATTGACCAGCTTTGTTATTAGTCCAAGAAAATTGTTCAGTTTGGAATGTGTCTGACCCCCCTCATTAGTATGCAAGAATGTAGGAATGTACCAAGAAAATTGTTTTTCTGGAGTAAATTGTAGTGTATTTTACTTATGAAAGGTCAAAAAGTGCATGAAGATTTTATGAAAATGTGTGGATGTTAACAGAATGATGTCGTTTGGTCACAGTTGCGCAATAAATGATGGACTATTTTGGGCGTAGCTATGAAATGTGTCACCGAAGTACTCACACGTGTGCATGATTTCAATAGTTTGTGCTGTGAAGAAACTCCATTAGAAAATAAGTATTGTGTAATTTGTAGTGAGAATGTATTTAAATAGATTTATCTAAAATAGGATGACAAATTGTTGGCGTGTACTTTCTGTAAAAAAAATTGAAAGGCATAAGAAATAACTTAAAATGAACACTGCATTTAATTTATATATACAAATTTATTTGTTAGCTTATTTGTTATATGAAAATAAAATTGAGCACATCTGGAGGGTAATATGTTTTGTGTAATCCTCCATCCATCAACAAATTATTTAAATTTAAGTTTTTGTGTGGTAAGTTTTAAGTGTTTGAAATGTCAATGGTAATAGAAGAAACAGATTGATAGAAGTTGATTGATAGCATTGGAATGTGTTGCTTTCCTGCCAGGTGGTTTCATTGCTAGATGGGAAAGAAATAAGATATCCCACTGAGTTTTCAGATCATAACTTAAACTTAAGGTTTTCTGTTCACAGGTATCAGCCTTCTCTACCTGGGATAAGGAACTACACAAGATTGTTTTTGATCCGCGTTATCTGTTGCTGAGCCCACGAGAGCGAAAGCAAGTATTTGAGAAATATGTAAAACAGAGAGCGGAAGAAGAGAGAAAAGAAAAGCATAGTAAAATGAAAGAAAAGAAAGAGGAATTCAGATCACTTTTAGAAGAAGCAAAGCTGACATCAAGGTTTGTCATTAAGATGAAAAATCAATCTCCAGTGTCAGATCACATTAACCGATGCCATGCTGCCATCCAATACCAATAGGGGAAACATTGCCTGTTGACCAACAAACTGCTTATTTATATTTGTGTGATATTATGTGTATAACATGATATCTATAATCCCAAAATATTTTTCTCAGCTGATCCTTACAAAATACCTTGCCGTTGTATTGAACGCTAATCATGAATGCATTGCTAACGAAAGGGGATTCAACATTAGATACAAAAAAATCTACATGTAGACACTTAATAAACAGCATGGTAAATACTACAGTTATTCCAAATCAAAGCAAACATGTATTGTATGTGTGGCTTGAGCCAACTTGGTGGAAAGAAAGAATTTATTTGCTATTTTGATATTTGTATCCTTCCTGAGTCATTTGTAGATTATCAGATTTATCTAGTAGTGATCCCTTTGAGTTGTCATCGCAAAAACATAATGCAATTGTCGAGATCTCAAACTCATAAATGTTTTCTTTTTTTCACCTTCCCTTCAGGACAACATTCAGTGAGTTTGCCACCAAGTATGCCAAAGAACGTCGTTTCAAAATCATTGATAAGATGAGAGAGCGGGAAGGATTATTCAACGAGTATATGCTACAAGTACGCAAGAAAGAAAAGGAGGAGGGCAGATCACGGCAAGAAAAGGTCTGTTTTATTTATCCAGTGGGGTGGGTGAGGTGGTGTGGAGAGATAAACGTCTGGTTACAACAATAAATCATTTCATTTCTTTTATTGATTTGGATTAGTTTCATCTAGACTTATTTTGAAAAAACACGCCTAGTGATTCAACAGACAAATACTATGCAAAGTCGCACAAGTTGTGAAATAATTGAAATCCATATATTGCACCATAAACTTTTAAAATCTTTTTGATAAAAAATAATTGAATGAGTTTAAAAAACAAAGTAAATTTCAGGGTTTTAGGTAATAATGAGGTGCTTTATTGTCTGTACAAGACAGTGTCAGTGGAGTTCTGGCATCCATCGTAACCTTGCGGTGGTTCTCTCTGTGTATGTGTAGCTAGTGTATGTGTTGCTATGTAATGCAAACTCTTAAAGATATTTAGTCATGTCATGTCGCAATACCAACCTGAGGAAATTGAAACCTTATTGTAAATACAATAACATGATACAATCTAATCAATATTGATCACCGTCGTCCGATCGCATAACTGCGGAAAACGAAGTAACAGCATCATATACTGCTCTATAATGATTTATGCATTAATTATAATTCACTTACTAAATGACCAATCTATTTTCAATCTGAAGCAGTTAATGTCACAGAATTCCTGCCAATTATTGAGCTGTCAATCACTAGCAAGGTGCATTCTGGGATTCCTAGTTGAGTGAGGAAAGCAATTACAGTTATTGTCGGGTGAATCGTATTATGCCTTCCTACATCACATGTGCTTATCAAGCTTTCCGGTACTAAATGTTTTGTTTCTTTCTCTGTGGTTTTCATTGACAAATGATTTGCAGTCAGGATTGTACAAAACAAGAACCCCTAAGTTGGTTATTTTAAACGAAAAGAGAATGGACGCTCCAATGATGTAACATTTGTGGCAAAACTGATAACCTTTAACTTAGGGAGTCTTGGGTTGTTTTTTTAATACTTATAAATTTTTCTGTCATTAAACAATATTTCAAGGACTTGAAAAATATTCATAGTTATGTCACCTTAAAATACAGTTTATATAAATACTGCAAACATATTTTATAACAAACAAAAATTGTGTGTTTCATGCTTCCCAAATTTTTCAATCTTTTTTATTTTTAGGATTAATTTATTTTTGTCCATTAAAAAAAAAAAACACAGGTAGAATTCTTAGGTTGATATGTACAGCAATTGTCGCACGTTCCGGGTTGCTGCGTCTCTTTTCAAACTCGCGCATTGAGGAAATTCAAATAAAAAAAATTAAATTTCTTTTTTTGGTACATACTCACAGACTGTTTGCATTGCTGTTTTTTCCTGATACAGATTAAAGGAGATTTCATTGCTCTCTTGAGTGAATGTAAGTCAATTGATAAACATAGTAAATGGAGTAAAGTTAAATCAGGATTGGATTCAGACAGTCGATACAAAGCTGTGGAAGACAAGAAAACAAGAGAATTGTGGTATCAAGAATACATCTCCACTACATTCAAGGTGAATATAATCAGTTTCGCTGTTTATTATTTGCTTCTTGCATAGCACAACCTTGGCAGTAAGTCTAAATATCAGTCATTATTATACATCTGTCACCGTAACGGCATAAGTTACAGCGTGCTGTAATTTTGCAACATTGCACTGGGTATTTTCATCCTACCATATAAAGAGACACGAATCCCAGATATAGAGCGATTACACGTGTAAGCGTTCTCTAATAATAACAAACTAAAGTTGTCCAATTATGACATTATTTGACAGGAAATAAACGAAGGTGCCGAACGACAGAAGAGAATTGAAGCAAGTATACGTGAAAGAGAACGAGAAGTTCAGAAAACTAGATTAGAGCAGCTGAAAGAACTAGACCGGGAAAGAGACCAGCATAAAAAAGATGAAGCAACACAGCATTTCAAAGCATTATTAGCTGATTTGGTATGTACATATTTACTTATTGAGTTAAACTCCTTTTCTGACAAAAAAAAAAAAGGATTTTAGGACCTGTAATTACAGCCATGGTTTTCTCAACATGTTTGAGCATTTGAGTGATCTGAAATAAACATTGTTGTTTCTATGAAAATGTATGCAGTCGAACTAATAACAATTTTGATGCAGAATGTTTTTCTGGGGGTGGGGGGGTGGGGGGTGGGGGTGTAAAACATTAATAAATAGCCTTATTTATGCCGTATTGCATCCATGGGTTTTTCCTATGTCTATAATAGTAATAGGATTTTAAGAACAGAAAGAAATTGTGATTAATGCTGATAACCAGTGAAATTAAGGTCATCATTAATTACAAACCAGGAAGTTAAGGGCTTCTAAATTATGTCATTTGAATAAAATGACAAGCAGATTGTCACTGATTCTTCTGTTACAGGAAGTATAGTATTCATATTGTTTCATGATTCACAGGTACGGGATTCTGATGCAGCATGGAGGGATACAAGGAGACAGCTTCGTAAAGACCATAGATGGGATTTCTGCCGCTTGTTGGAGAGAAGTGAGAAAGAGAAACTATTTCATGAACACATTATTGCATTATCTAAGCGGAAGACAGAGCAGTTCAAATTAATGTTGACAGAGTCACCTCACGTGAGTTACCCCCTAATTAGTGCCTCAATGTACAAGGACTTAGCATCACATGAGATCAAAAGTGAATCATATCCATATATTGAACTTGTTTTGCTTGTTCACATGTTTTAGGTAACTTTGACGACATCATGGAAAGATGTCAGGAAACACATAAAAGATGATCCAAGATATGTCAAGTTTTCTTCAAGTGATCGGGTAAGTATTGTGTCCCAATAATCTGAGCCATGTTAGTGCAGCCATAATTATTTATCCTAGCTACATCAATAGGTATCAATAGTTTAATTTTCACAGTTGACTAGCTGCACTGCACTGTTCAGCTCTTCTTTTACGCACTGCACCGCACTATCTGAAATAGTCAGGTCTATTTGATTTGACAGCAATCAAGTGAGCTCAACACCTCTTTATCACGTGACACAACATAATTCAATAATAATCTGAGTTTGAGTACTTTAAAAGCATCAATTTCCACTTACAATAATTATACCGTTTTTTTTTTTTTTTTTCTCCTAATATTCATTGGGTTTTATTTTCATGAATTTGCCAGTTGTAACAATGCGATGCATTCTATTCTATTCTAGTTTTACATATGGATTTAATTTATTGCCAAAATATCTAAATTAAAACCCAGTGAATAATTAATGCTTTTACAGTACTAAATATTTTTCAGTTATGAGAAGAACATTTGTCTGAGGATGCCATCAGTGTTGATAAACGTAAATTATTGTGTTTTTTTTCAGAAACGAGAACACGAGTACAGTATTTATATTCGCGATAGACGTATTGCTGCTAAAGCTGATTTTAGAAACTTGCTTCGGGAAACTAAATTCATTACTTATAGGTGAGTGTTTTGTTGTCTATTTTTCTTCATTGGGAGCGACAAGAAACTCATTTAAACGTATTACCAGCTTGATTCCAGAGCCATGTGTGAAGGGGAGTTTCTATAATCGAGAGAGGCAAATTGATGTTTTTTATATAAATTGCAATGAATATAAATAGTGGCCATGTCTTAGATCTTACTGTACAAGTTATGTCTAGTAGCTGAGATTGCTCGTGAATGGAATGCAGCGCTTGTAATTGACAGTTACTCAAAGCACACAGAACTAACTTTTGTTACAAACAAAAACTTGAACTAATTTACAAAAAAGTTTGTTCTTTGTATTTACCTGAGCTAATTTGCCTTTAAGGCAAATTCAGACAAGTTTAGCAGTGTCAGCATTTATTTATTACCTTGCCCGTACCATCAAAGATGGAAGGGAAAGTTATATTAAGGTGAAAAATTTGTCCGGCGTTGTGGTCGTCGTCGTTGTTGTCGTTCATCATCAAACTTTAATAGTCAACTTATTCATCAGTATAAAGTCTTCTCTGAGTTTCAACAACAGATTTCTTGTATGAAAATATCATGCAAAATTGAGAAAATCTGATAAAATATTTTGACTGTTTCTACTTGACTGATCACTGGTGATACAACATGTATGCATCAAAAGTCACTGATCTCAGTGGGAAATATGCATTGTTGTATGTGTTCAATGAAGCAAATCATTTATCTTGTAATAATATCGTTGGTAATGTATCTCCCAAATCTCATGGGAATACTATACTGGGGTTCAAAACCAACTTATGGAGAGAGTTTTTGCACAGTCTGATACACATTTGCAAACCTACCAATAAAATCTTTACAGAAAACAAGATGTCAGAAAATCAATATTAGCACTCCTATGAACTGGGTGCCAAACTTTGAGCAAGATCTGAAGCTAATAGAAAATCTTTTTAGTTCAAAGTTATCAAATCAAAAACAATACATGAAAAAAAAAAAAAAGCAGAACTCTGCATCCACATTTAGAAAAGCAAATTGTACTGAAATATATGTATTCTGTATTTGACAAACAGTTCATTCGACAAATGAAAATTCACAGGAATTTGTTTCAGCTATTAGAACAGAATGATAGAGTTTTTATTATACTAATTTCAAAACGCATTTCAAAAACAAAGATTGCAGTGTTTGAAGATGTAGATTCTCAGGAGGCAACACTATTGTTGACTTCTCTCTCCACTGGACACCAACCAACTATTTAAGTTGATTTGCATACAAAGCAGAGCTTGCAACATGATAGCTATTCATAAAGGGTGTTTTTTTTTACTTTTCATATAATACAGTAGTCACACAATGAATATAATAAAAGGCAGTTCATATTTGTCTCAGTGAATCATTATTTTTGACATACACCTGTACAAAATACTTAGACAAAAGCCACCTAAGATTTTCTGTCATCTTGCATGTTTTATGAATCTATTCACGTATACTGCAGCACTTTTTTTCTGTGATGAGGCATTTGTTTTTATACTAAAATATCTGAATTACTTTGAATAAAGCTGGAAATTATGTCCCTTAAAATAATTAAACAAATTAGGCACCAATGCTTTT